CTTGCTGAACGAAGACCAGAATGACTGATGCGACCATGTTCAGGAAGTGATGAAGATTTCAAAAATTAGAGAAAAAGAAAAGAACGCAAGGACTTGCATGGAAAGTGTTTAGAAGGCGAAGAACTGGAGGCGCCATTTCATGCACATTTCGGGAATGTGAAAAAATTCTACAGGGTGTTGAAAAATTAGTTCCTCGAGCAAACAGGTGTATTGATTCAGAGGGAACCATAATGAAAAACAATTTTTATTCAGAATTTTCTGCTTTTTCTTCGAACCTATACCGAGAATACATCAAGCACCCTTCGTATGTTTATTGTTGGAACCAGACATTCCCGGGATGAGATACAGGAAGCCATCTCCCCTTGTCGCACCAACGGACGAATGGAACTGGGCGTAAGTTGGTAAGAAGGATAGGAGGTTGTGTCGAATGGACGTGGACGGGACTAGCAATAAGTGAGGCAGCTGTTTCTGTGCTTCACAGAAGTTCGACTCGGTAAATGGGCGATTAACTTTCGGAACACGGGACATGAAATAATCCCGCGAATTTTCAGCACAAAAATCAACCGAATAATCCGTCGTCATCCCCTGGGCTTAATACGTGAATATTTCCTGATTGGAACGTTCCCTACTAGAGTTCATGAGAGCGGAAGAGAGCAAATGGCAGCGTTCCCGGCCATGGTAAAGTCAGGTTACCGCTATATAAGGGCAGCCATTGCATGTTCTCGCAAGCCAGGTTGAGCTCTGCCCCAGAGCTAATTCCATTCCAGAATTCTCTTTCTGAAATTATTATATACTTCAGGTTCCTCGTATAAAATCGAAAAATTGAATGAAAGAACGCACTCTAGTAGTTTTCTCCTCGGAGAAACCTCATTATGTTTTCTTCTATGTGGAGCTCTTGACCATTCGCCTGATGTTGCAGATTTGCCTCGAACTGGTGCGAAAGTGCGGAAGATGATCGTGGCTTTGCTTATTCTCACTGCTCTGTTCGACAGCAGCTTCTGCCTCACGGAAAAGGGAGGATCGACATGTTGAGGGTAGGAACTTCAAGTGCTAAAAATACTAGAACAAGCTCTGCAGTACTGCAAGACATAAAAAGAAGTCCTTACAGTATGGCTGTACCACAGAAATATGACAGCTCTACGCGTCTTCCCCTTATCAGCTATTTTTGGACTTTATTTATCCCGGCATTATTTATACCATACCTTATTTTTATTCATACCTATTCCTACTTTATATTTTTTTATACCAGGCATTATCAATCCTTTGCTGCCCCGTTTTTAGAAATTGAGGCCACATACTGGTCGACATTTTTTCATAACGGCAACAGGAAAACCTCGCCCTTGGCATCACTTAGAACTTTGCGCAGAGCATTGCATCTGCTTAGAACGGAAACCCTCTGCGCCTACGCCCTAACCTGTGCAGTCACTACACACCTTTGGCGCTATCGGCAGTAGCGCAGTGGGTATTTCCAAGCAAATAGGTTGGTGAGGCTCGGAGGGGATGGGGGTCATCAAACTTCAATATGGGAAAATCTGTGGCACGTTCGGGGTTTCGAAGGGTTTTGGCGCGAGTTCCGGGTAGCAGTTGCTTCGAACTTGAGCTCTTGCTGTCCTGTCAATCCTGAATGTGCTGTTTTCTGATTCTATTCCATCTCTTCAGGTACATAAAGGCATCGACCTTGAAAAACGTCGCGAGAGGCTGCAGAACCTGAGCTCGAAGTTGTGGGGAGTGAATATCACTTCTGGAAGGAGCACCTCGTCAGTGAATAGCAAAGCGAGTCTTGCTGCAGCGACGAATGTGGGGACCTATCATTTTGTTTTGTTGCTAATTTATTGCTTCCTTGCTTTGCAGAATCTGAATTTTTTCCCTTAAGGCAGCTCTTGGAGGAGTCAGCTCGACAGATAGCAGCGCTCCGTCCATCGAAGAACTGAATCGAGCTGAGGGAATCGACGAATACTTGTTTGGAGGCGACATGGTCCTTACTGAGTACGTAAGAAGCACATTAAGAGCTTTCCCTAAACCGCAGTGACAGAACGTAGCATTGCTTGCCTCCAAGGGGGCACTCTCAGGGGAACATTCTGAGGGATAGCCAGAGAAGAGGGAAAAGGAAGTGTCGACAGGTCGTTTTGCGAATGATTGGTGGAAGTCGTGCGGACTCGCAAACCACCCTTGCCCAAAACAGCGATGGCTTAGTGAGAGCATTGCCCTAGTTATCCCTGAACGGCTTTCCTGGAGCTTGTCTTGCCTGGAGGTCGAGCTAATGCATACGCTACTTTTTGGTGTAGCGATCAAGAGCACGTTACGGATTACAGGGGGGGGGGCAAAAAAAAGACATTTCGACCGAGTCACATATCAGCAAAGTTTTCGCAGCCCAGACAGAGGACGTGGATACGAGTATTTTCCTCTATCAGTATTTATTACTATTACTATTTTGCGTTGATACGAGTACCAGGGCGGAAGGATACCCAAGATGTTCCTCTATAAGCAGGAGCTGGCGCTCGCCCATCACCTTCATACACCAAAATATGAAGTCATCTCCAGCCGCAACCTGACTGGAGAAGACCTTCGGAATTCATGTCACCTCCAAACAGCTGCGAAACTTCTAGTATGGAGTCACCCATGGATAGCTACCTGGAGACCAGTACTCTCGAAGACCTCCATCATCGAGCAGCTCCGTCAACGTCGCTACGGTCTAGGACATCATCTTCACCTCAGTCGCCAAGGCGCCAGTTGATGGTGGGGACCGGACGTACCTGGAATGGAGAGACCGATATTTTCTTCGTGGGCCCCGGACTAAAGGTGAGCGCTGGCGGTTACATCGAGCAACTCGAGAAGAATATCCTCTCCACATGTCGTCGCCCGTACCTTCTTGGAAACTTTGTACTGCTACAGGATTGGGTGACACCACATGGAATCAAAGGGCGTTGGGAAAACTCTTGCCTACTTGGAATGGAAGGGCGTTGAGTACCTGAAAAAATGGAATATCTAAGCAGGTCACCTGACCTAAACCCCTCAATTACCTGGTTCGGGCGGAGTTCAATAGGGTGGTCTACGGTGGCGGAGAAATCGACTATCTCGCTGATCTCAGGGACCACATCGCGGTTGCGTGCCAGAATCTCTCGATGGCGCTCCTCCAGAAGGCGGAGTATCATGATAGTATTTGATATGCTCTTTAATATGGTGGTAGAAATGTCCGATAAGAATTTAATAAAGTGTAACTTATAGCGCCTCGAAAGTCGAGGAAGAAAGTCTTTTTTTGCCCCCCCTGTACAGTTGCAGGTTTTGAGTTCAACCGCAAGTTTAGAGAGGGCTACCCAGGAAGGAAAGACTAGCCACGACATCAAACGCTTCACAAGTAACGAGTCGGGAAAATCATCAGACGCTTCCCGAACAGGGCACGTTTTACGTTAGGGTGGACCCAGCGGGAAGGGGTTCATATTTGGTTCAATGAGGAAATTATTTTGGTGATGATTATTACCTGTATCACGAACGCTATTCATATCGTTAGGTCTTTGGCAGAATAACAATGCTTGGGGGGGGGTCGTATTTGCCTTCACCTCCGAGAGAAGATGAGTGCTCTACCGGTGCCTGACTTTTGCGGTATTTCCCGTTTCTCTGGTCCCCCTGGGCTACATCTCCTCCCTCCGCACGACAGCAACATTTTCGGGAAAGTCTAGAAAATTTTGTAGAAGCTTCGAAGAAAGTGATGGGTGTAAGTGTTAGCAGGAGAGGTGAGATAGTAGAAGGAGTGATGGGTGTAAGTGTTAGCAGGAGAGGTGAGATAGTAGAAGGAAGAAATTGGAGGGGGGGTCCGTATTTTCCGGAAAACTTCCCCATCGGCTGGACGTGCCCTGTCCCCAAATAATGCTCTAAGTTTGGATCGATGAGCGAGGATGGGAGAGACCGCTATGCAGGAAAGGACGAGATAAAAATAGAGCAGAAAGTCGAGATAAAAGGCGAGTGAGACATCAGAGGTCGGTCTCACACAGAAAGAACGCAACGCGGCATAATTGTGCCTATAGATACAGGCGCTGGCGCCTCCTTCCTCTTCGACGGGAGAGGCACGGTTTTCTCTTGAACGCCTTACGGAAACGTTCCAAATATCAGGTTGGTTGGGAAGTTCTGTCATACTTTTTTGAACTCAAAATACTTGCCCATTACCTGAAAGAGGGTTAATCGGATAAATGTGAGCATTCATAGATCAAGGGAAGATCTTTCGACGAATATCACTGGCTTGACCCCTGTCCCTCCTTTTTCTGCAATAAGGGCAGGAGTTTTACTCATTACCATCGGCACGGACAACTTCGAGTGCTTCCTTAAACTATTTCTTCTACCAGCCTGACGCCAGCATGACAGCTGTCGATGCCGAGGTAATAGAACCGTATAAGGGCGATGTCCTCCACTATCGAACAACCTTCCACGACGCTAATGCTTCAAAGCGGGAGCCTACAGTTTGAATGACGAAGGTGAGGTTTGGGTGTACCTGTGAACTCAGCATGAGGGAGCCGTGTGTAGGGAAACCGCTGGATGAAGAAGCTGCGTCCTAGGTCAATCCATTCAAAGCAGCCATGAGATCTGAAGCGAATCGTCTATTACAGGGAAAATTTGTCCTCACAGTCCCTCTTCAACGTAATGGTGCAGCCCACTCCAGCCAAAAAAGTTCGAGCCGTACCTCATGCAGTAGAGCTCGATGGCTCTTGCACCGGTATAACTCCTTCATTGCTCCTTCTGACTGCTGGTTGCCTTCCGTACCTAACCGTTATATGGCCGAAAACCTCCACGACTTGAGCCCAAGTCAAAGTTGAGATGATGTCCAACTTTGCGTCGCGCCTGGCTGCATTGTTAAGCGATGGCATCCATGAGGTGCTCAAAAATGGAATGAACCTCCAGTAACATTGCTATGCAATTTTGATCGTGTACGACTCTCTATAAAAAGAAAGCCTACTTTGAAAAAAATGTGAATAACTTTTCCCCAACACAATAAAAACGGTGAGGTTCGGATGGCTCTCGCCCTTCTGATCGCGTTATCTTTTAGGGAGCAGCTGGCCACATTTGAGAAACAGGCGGAACATCCCACACGCGCCAAACGGCAAATAGCGTCATATGCTCGTCGCTGGACAAACAACAAAGTTTATTATTATTTCGACACAAATATAAGTATGCCCTTAAAAATTAATCAAGAGCTGGTCACCACTTGAATCATCCCTAGCCGCTTTCAGCTGCAGCTCATCGTGCCTTCGTCAAAAAAGAGCTGAACTACGTTCAAGCTCGTACATGTCTTGTCTTCATCGAAAATGCCACAGCAAAAAATCGTATAAAAGTTTTCTACGGGTCTGGTTGTTGGTCCTACGTTGGAATGCTCAGTGCTGAACAAGAGTTATCCTTGGCCAGTGGCTGTATGTCCGTAAGTTACTCACAACTAAATTCAGTTAACAGTGTATTTCATGGCGATGTGCTTTGGGCTGAGATGGCTGAGGAGGTCTGGAATTAACAGAAGCCACGAGAAATTTCCATAACAATGGACTGCACGCGCTCTCACTCGAACCTTTCACTAATGTTCAGGTAGGAATTGTAACGCATGAATTCATGCACGCTCTCGGATCCATGCACATGCACATGCGAGATGACAGAGACACATACCTTAATGTCAACATGACGGCCATGTCGGTTAGTTCATCATACTTTCTTCTGAATTTTTTTATCATTCATACAAAAAGGTATAATGGGCGAAAGTACACTTCCGCGTGCAAAGCAGGGCGATTCTCAAAGAATCGGATCTGCCCGTTCCCTTTTCCTATGCTGGAAAAATAGCGTGGGTTCAGTGGGTGTCTACAGAAAAAGCTTCCTGCTTCTGGTATCCCACCGGTGGAGAGCCCTGCGTCTTCCGAGAAACAGCTAGCTCACGAGGTCGGACATGCTGTGGCTGTTGATGGAGGAACAGTACCAGGGTACAGCATCGTTGTGTGAAACACATGAGGGGGATGTTCTTGGCCGCTGAGGGGGGGGGGTGGTCATATTAGGTCGTTGTTGGGAGAGGGGAGGAACGTATCCATTGTTATCCTTGGTATACATCTGAGCGGTGGCAGTGGGATTGCCCTCCTCTCCTTGAACATCTGGTAACGCAACATTGACTTTCTGTAAGGTAGCGATGCCCTCTGGGATGTAACGGCTCGCTTTATCGACCCGTATCGTATTTCACGTCACGAATACCTTCGGCCGACCGAGAGCCATGGGCGATGCTTGTCTGGAGCGGTGGCAGTGCGATTGCCCTTCCTCTCCCTGAGCATCCGGATAACGCAACGATTGATATCGTACCCGGGGGGGGGGGCGGGGGCGGGGGGGGCCGGCGGCCGCTACGCATGCCTTGCCAATGTATCGGCCCTTCGACCATAGTGTTTTCACGAATACACTTCACCGACCAACCATGCGTGCTTGAGATGATGGAGACGTCAGCTGATGGCGACGAGGAAGTTCTCTTAATGCCAGCCTGGAAGCAATTCGACGGACAGGATATTCTATGTATTCATCCTAACCGTGCCGTCACTCGAGAAGTGTTCGTTGACGGTGTCAAGCAGGGCACACGATACGCTGGCGAATTCGCACCTGTCGACTATGAGCCGTGGCTAGTCTTCTATTTACCCTTTGAGGATACCAGTATGTTAGAAGGTCTAAAATGCACGCAACCTGCGCACCGTGGCCACAGTCCCCAAAGTGGATGTCTGCCAGATGATTATTCTGGCGGATACTTACTTAAAAACTGGGATATGCTCCACTCGAAGCTCACTGAACTGGCCGCGAAAATCGAGCAGAAATGATCGTTTTTCAGTCGTTGGATGTATGTGCTTTTGTTCGACAACTGGTGGGAAGATGGGACTAGTAGGAAAGCGATAGGTAGGTGCTGGAGAAGGAGTCGTACCGGGACCCTCCTTAGGTGTGGGAGGTCGTACTGACACCGCCATTCCACACGATGCTGTACCCTGAACAGTACTGAATTGTACTCCAGTTACTAAGAGCTAGATATTTGAGTCATATCAGTCATATCAAGGTCGCGAGCGATGTATCAATTCCTGTCACTTACAACTACTGCTCTCGTGCAGACTCTCCATAGAGTCCTGAGACCAGCTTATGGGTGCTGTCTAGTAAGTGGCAAGCACTGAGTATAAACAATAGACTGGATGTCCTTATCAGATTGAATTTTATGTTTAAGGATAGTGACCGCAACAACTACGTCAAGGCAACGGAATCAATCAACAACACGCCATACGAGTACGCTAGCCGTATGCAGTACGCCAGCAACATGTCAGTACTTTAAGACCGTTTACAGTGGCATTTTCTCGTTCTCAAGGTTATCTACACCTTGTAAGTTTACCTTTCTTGCATTCTGAATTTTCAGCTACATGACTGCAAAGCAAGCGAGGTACCAGCGTACAATGGGTTCAAGAACAGTATCGTTCTACGATATCTTGATGATCAATAGGTTCTACCAGTGTTTCGGTAAGAAACTGTCAACTGAATCTCGGTGTTGCCCCTCACTCAGCTACTGATTTCCCTTCCAGAACCTTAGAGCAGTGCTTTTGTCTCACCTAGTCAGGTCGGAACCCGGATCCTACCTATCTGAAAGTTCTACGAGAAAAGGCGCTTTTGTTCCTGTCATCGTGGCATTCAGGGCTTTGTTACCTTTTTATGGCCTTTTTATGGGATATTTCACAAGTCTAAAATAGGGCGGCTCTCTTGGAAACATCTCATTTACTCAATCGGTGTTATATTCTCAGGCGAAACGGCAGTGGTGCATACACAGCTGTGTCAGGAACCAAGTCCATGTGCTGGGAATGCACACTTTTTGAATCTCCTCAACTCACAACCCCTTTCTTTAACGAGACTTTGCCCAAGTGTGGCGCAATGCCTTTTCCTGTTACGTTCCGTAAAAAGTCAAGTAATTGCGAGTCGATCATTATTCCAGCTGCTTGCGCCGGTAAAGGAGTCACGGGCAAATGCAAGAACAAGGGGGTTCCAAATCCGAAGAATTGCAATGTATGCATTTGCCCGTATGGATACGGTGGAGCTCTTTGTAATCAACGAGTAAGTGGCTCTACTTCCGTAATTCAGATGATTTCGAAGATTGAATTTTGGCTACACAGTAATCTTCCAGCCAGCAGCGTGCGGTGGAACGTTGGCAGCCGCTACGACATGGAAGGCGAGAAATGTCACTATTGGAAATGCTACAGTAACCACTATGCGTGACACCTACACAGTCTGCAGTGACTGGATTTCGGTATTCTTTCGAAGTAAACGGTGAACAAGCTCCAGAATAAGCTTATCTTCAGGCTCCCGCAGGTAAAACGATCCAAGATTCAAGTGACAGCTCTGAACGGTGTTACATGCAACAGTGGCTGCCCGTACAACTCAATTGAACCGAAGACGGTAGCGGACCAAGCAATGACTAGCCCGAGGTGGATCATTTTTCGACAGAGCACTTGTCATTATTATCTCCTTCAGCAGAAAGGAGGCACAGCCTTGACCGAAGGAAGAAACTTCAAGCGAAATGTTGTGTGATTAGAACCTGCATGCAAATTACCAAGTGCAAAGAAGAGGGAAGCTGAGCTTTGGCTGATCAAATGACGATTTGAAATAAAGGCCGCATCAAAGCAACCAATTAGAACAAGAAAACGAGCCCGTGAAACAGCGTTTTCAACCATTTTGGGTTATTTATTGGCCCTTGAACGCTAACAACATATTATCAGCAGCCACAGTCCAGATACATTAATAATATTCTAGTTTGTCTAGAGCGCGACAATAACCAATAATGTCTCCTCTCACATTGGCTGTCCTAGTAGTTTCATAGCGCCTCATGTAAGCCTGTACGCTGATTAGCGTTTTGAAACCTGAGATGGCAGTTACCGACCTCATCTATTGTGCCAGTAGAATCCACATCGAGATTCTCTCTTACTGTTTTGGTTCCGTGAGGCTGCACACGGAGGGCTCAGGGATCCTCCTGCGCGAGCACAGTTCTTCAAGAGGATATAACGTGCTAGTGTGCAGGTTGTCGGTGCCTTGCTGCCGCTGTTGAAGGCAGACACTGACTTGGCGACATCAGGATTGCCGCACCTCGTTGAACGTCCATATGGCTGGCTGCTGGCATCATGCCGCTCACACGATCGCTCCCTGATGTTAAAAAATAATCTGCTGATTTCAAATATTATAGCAATATATTTCCAGCCACATGCTGATATCACTCACTGGAAATCCACTGTTTTATCAAGATCGACCTACACGTGAGCATTGTTTGCAGTCGATCTACTGCGATCGATGATTATCATCACATAAAAATTCGGGTGAAGAGAAGTAGTGAGTTTATTGCACAATAGCCCTTTTTGAGTGATAATTTTTTCGACGGCATTCAAATGATGCTGTTGGCCCCGATCAGCTGAAGCAATTTAACAACGGCTAAAGTTAATTCCGAGCTCCTGGGTGGTTGCCTACAGGCGCTATTGCCACCAACATTTACTTATATCTATAGATTATGTTTGAGACTGCTTCGGAAATGCTAACTTTCTGAAAATAAAAGCTATTTCGCAATTTTGTGCAGACTTGTCTGTGGGATCTTTCGAGAACGAACGCGCTAATTACACTCCACACTGAGCCTTCTCAAAGATAAGCGACATGCAGCCGTGCTGTTTGTTCACTATGGGAAATTAGATGTTGGATGTTATCACAGGAATGCTGAGTTGTGGGCAAAAGTCGTGCTCCATGCGGGAATCGAACCCGCACCTCACACTTTCCGGGCGAGTGCGCTATCCGTTACGCCGTTATTAATGTGGGAGTTAAGGTCCGAGAAGGGCGAAACACCTGCTGTCTTCGAGAATCGGCGCAGAACGCAGATGTTTTGAAGTGGTATCGTCTAGAATATGAGCTGGTTTTGTCTTGTCACTTCGCACCCTTTCCATCGGTAACTTTGGAGTATTAGGCGTGGAATGATTGAAATAGAGTTCTGAACACCAAGGAGCGGGTGCGCCGACGTGGGATGGAAAACACCACTGACACTATTAGGTTATACTCATATCCCTCCCTGAGATCGGGTAGGCGTGAACGTGGCTGCTGTTTCTCTGACCATCGCCGCTTGCCAAAGCTGACCCTAGGTGACACAATTGCCATTGTTGAAACCCAACTGCAACTGTGGAAACCCAACTGTAACAACGTTTCTGCAGAGAGTTGACTTTTGGCTCGATAAATGACGCGATTACTTCTCGGAGCCCCGTCGACAAAAGTAACCCGCCGATTTTCCCGCAAATAAATCAAACAAATAATCCGTTATCGTTCCAGGGGGCTTAATACGTGAATATTCTGAATGGAACGTTTCTAGTAGAGTTCATGGTAACGGATTAGAGCACGGTGTTGCGTTCCTGCGCCATAGTGAGGCCATGTTGTCGCTATATAAGAACAGCTATCGCTTATTCCACAAGCAACATTGAGCGCAGCCTCAACTTGGACTTTATTTGGTGATCGTGCTTCTGAAACTGTTCTATGAACTTGGGATTGCTGGCCCAAAACCTAATAGAAGAGCTTTCTCTGATGGTTGGTTCCCTTCTTCAAAATTAGAGCTCGGAAGAAGGGTTTTTTATGTGATGTTCGCCAAACGCCTCATAATATTACAGGGTCAACTGAAAATGAGGATGATCGTTGCTTTGCTTCTTCTCACTGTGTTATTCGAGAGCAGCATCTGTCTCACGGAAAAAGGGCGGATCGAAATGAAAAGGGTATGAAGTAACTGCTCAAATGTTCAAGAACCAGTTCACTAGTAATAAAACTAGAAACCAAAAATATTCTAAGAAGCCCAGAAGTATGGCTATCCCACAGAAATCCAGCTGTACCTATTGTCTTTCCTTTCAGCTATCCATTGGGCCAAACGGCATTAATGACCTCAACTGCTCCCCGTCTGAAAATCCTGCCACATGCTAATCGAAATTTTTTTGTGACAACAAAATCGAGGGAATATCGCCTCTTGGGTACCTGAGCACAAATAAGCAGCCGCCTGGAAAGAGAACGTCTTGCACCCGGGCCTCTGGAGTAGCAGGCCATGTGGCTTTAGCGCCTGCGTCAGTAGTACACGTGGGTTTATGCTCTATTCTGACATCCAGGTTCAAGGGGTGAGCCCAGCATTGAGAAAAAAAATCTACTGCACATTTGGTGTTTTGGAAGATTTTGGGTCCTATGGCCCTCGTGGCTGCCGATATCGAGCCAAAAACCCTCTCAAAAAACATTCATAGAATGGTTTGTATTTTGCCTCTCTGACCTTCGCTTATAAATGTTGCATCTGCCTATGAAGGAAACCTTCTGCGCCCTCTTCAGAGGCTGTGCAGTCCGGGGACACGTTTGGCGTGGGTTCCACTAGTGCAGTGGATGTTCCGAGCAAATATGTTGCTGAGGTTCAGGTGGGGGAGGTCACACTTCAAGTTAAAAAATCTGTGGCGCGTTCGAGGTTCCGAAAGCTTTTGCCGCATTCATCGGACGTTTCTTTGATTTGATTTTATAGAAAAAGGTATACCTCAAGAGTGCTATCGTCTGCATGATTTTCTCGCAGTAACTTCTCTTCAGGCAGATAACGCATCGCGTGGGAAAAAACGTCGGCCGAGCAGGCTCTGCCAGACCTTTACGCTTGAAAATATGTGGAATTCGTCCTTCTGCTGAAACAGGCAACTGCTCAGTCTGATACTGCTGGCGAACGCAAACTTGGCTCTCGCTACCTGAGGACCAATGTGAGGATCTTGTACATTTTTCTGCTGTATTATCTCTAACATCGGATCGGCCGGCTTCGCCGCGATCCTCGTTACGGTGTGGAAGGTGGGCGTCCCGCGGCGAGAAGTTTTCCATGGCCGATATTCCTTCCGGGTGTGAAGTGGGTCCCGGCGAGAAGTTTTCCATGAGAGGGAGGGCCAGTCGGATCGGCCGGCTTTCGCGCCGATCCTGCCTTCGGTGTGTGAAGTGGGTCCGCGCCGGTCGAGAGCAGTTTTCCTATACGAGAGGGAGGGCCAGTCGGATCGGCCGGCTTCGCCGGCCGATCCTCCTTCCGGGTGTGAAGTGGGTCCCGGCGAGAAGTTTTCCATGAGAGGGAGGGCCAGTCGGATCGGCCGGCTTCGCCGGCCGATCCTCCTTCCGGGTGTGAAGTGGGTCCCGGGCGAGAAGTTTGTGGATGGCCGATGGTCCTTCTCCGGGTGCTGAAGTGGGTCGCGGCGGAGGAAGTTTTCGACATGAGAGGAGGGGCCAGTCGGATCGCCGGCTTCGCGCCGCATCCTCCTTCTCCGGGTGTGAAGTGGGTCCCGGCGAGAAGTTTTCCATGAGAGGGAGGGCCAGTCGGATCGGCCGGCTTCGCCGGCCGATCCTCCTTCCGGGTGTGAAGTGGGTCCCGGCGAGAAGTTTTCCATGAGAGGGAGGGCCAGTCGGATCGGCCGGCTTCGCCGGCCGATCCTCCTTCCGGGTGTGAAGTGGGTCCCGGCGAGAAGTTTTCCATGAGAGGGAGTCCCTCCGTTCTGTGTGAAGTGGGTCCCGGCGAGAAGTTTTCCATGAGGGAGGGCCAGTCGGATCGGCCGGCTTCGCCGGCCGATCCTCCTTCCGGGTGTGAAGTGGGTCCCGTGAGAAGTTTTCCATGAGAGGGAGGGCCAGTCGGATCGGCCGGCTTCGCCGGCCGATCCTCCTTCCGGGTGTGAAGTGGGTCCCGGCGAGAAGTTTTCCATGAGAGGGAGGGCCAGTCGGATCGGCCGGCTTCGCCGGCCGATCCTCCTTCCGGGTGTGAAGTGGGTCCCGGCGAGAAGTTTTCCATGAGAGGGAGGGCCAGTCGGATCGGCCGGCTTCGCCGGCGATCCTCCGCTTCCGGGTGTGAAGTGGGTCCCGGCGAGAAGTTTTCCATGGCCGATATTCCTTCCGGGTGTGAAGTGGGTCCCGGCGAGAAGTTTTCCATGAGAGGGAGGGCCAGTCGGATCGGCCGGCTTCGCCGGCCGATCCTCCTTCCGGGTGTGAAGTGGGTCCCGGCGAGAAGTTTTTCCATGAGAGGGAGGGCCAGTCGGATCGGCCGGCTTCGCCGGCCGATCCTCCTTCCGGGTGTGAAGTGGGTCCCGGCGAGAAGTTTTCCATGAGAGGGAGGGCCAGTCGGATCGGCCGGCTTCGCCGGCCGATCCTCCTTCCGGGTGTGAAGTGGGTCCCGGCGAGAAGTTTTCCATGGCCGATCCTCCTTCCGGGTGTGAAGTGGGTTCCGGCGAGAAGTTTTCCATGAGAGGGAGGGCCAGTCGGATCGGCCTCGGCTTGGCGCGGCCGATTCCTCTTCCGGGTGTGAAGTGGGTCCCGGCGAGAAGTTTTCCATGAGAGGGAGGGCCAGTCGGATCGGCCGGCTTCGCCGGCCGATCCTCCTTCCGGGTGTGAA